TTTTCACCGCAGTTTTTAGTGACTTTTTACTCTTGGAATTTGCTATTTTTGAATTTATAAATAGTAAAAGTGAAAATTAAAGTTGGTACAAATTTCAGAATTGCTTGACTATCACTTGTTTCCATGATTGTACACTGGTTATTGTATATTGGATTTTGATATATTTTTATCTCTATATTGTCCTTTCCTTTTAGAATTTTTGATGCATGAAATTTGGTATTTCTGGATTTATAAATAATAAAATTCTTAGTTAAAAATTAGTAGAAATTTCAGAATTGTTTGATCATGACTAGTTTCCACACTTATGCGTCGAGATTGACCACTGAAAGACTGAATAATATAAAACAAAAAGTAACTTTTATGAAAACATGTTTTGTTAATTTTTTATTATTTTATTTGGTTTTTACTATAATTAATAGATATTTTTCCTTAATTACCAAAGAATGCTCCATAACTAAAGAAAGGCAGATAAAAAAACTGTGGCCATGTTGTAATTTCTTTTTTTTTTATTAATTAACTGTTTGCTAAATTTTGGAACCTATAAATAGCAAAATGACTAGAAATATGCTAGAAATTAGAAAAAATTACTAGAAATTAAATTAGAAAAAATTATTAGAAATTTCAATACCATCAAAGTATTTCATCAGTGTTAGTAAAAATAATATAAAATAATTTGATAATCCTTGTTCAATTTTTATTTATTTGTATTTCGTATTTATCAGGAATTTAGTGCATAGTGCAATCTAATTGTGGAATAAATATTCGGTCGTTCGTAGTGAAATCCTCACGAAGGATCTGTAAGCAGATATACAATTTTCCATGGAAAGTACCGTTACTGTATTGGTCGTACTATATACGGTGATCCAAAAGTTCTCGAATAAACTTCAGCAGTGACTTCAACGATAATGGTGCAGTAGAATAATTTATTAAAAAATAGCAACTGAAATGTGAAAAATAAAAATAAAGACGAAGATACTATCACAGCTATACATCTTCACGACTTGAAGTATATTTGCTAGTATCGGACATAGTTTTAAATTTAATGCAAAATTTATTGCAGGATTTATTCCGGAATTTATTGCAAAATTTATTGTACCCTTTACTGCGGAATATATTGCAAATTTCGTTACGTGTAAGCACAGCTAACAAGTATCTTCCTCAATAAGAAGCACCATTAGTAGGACACGCTTATGTAATTCAAAGCGAAATGTCTTATGTCAACATCATGTTCTATTGCATGACATAGGTCACAAATTAAATTTGATACACTAGAAGAACTTTATGTTTCTTATACTCATTCTTGATTATCCAGACAATTTCTACCAAATTATTTACGCAGTTTTCGTAACATTGTATGTTGATATTTGTGAATAACAAACGAAGCAAGTATATTTATTTACAAAAATTAAGACACTGAGTAATCTGTGATTGAGTCACAAAAATTTGTGAATTTTTATATATTCTTCATCTTTTTACATTATTTACTTTTATACCGAATTTTTGTACATCTTTTATTTATTTTTACATGGTGTTTTTCTAACACATTTTGTTCACTTACGATTTTTTTTAAATATGTTTTATTTATTTTTGTACAATTTTCTTTAAGCATATTACTTATTTTTATTTTCAAATTCAGCAAGATAGATATTCAAAAATTTCGTTCTCGATTGCAGTTCGGTATTTTATATTGTTTTTTCTGTTGTTCGCTGTAGTATAACACGAGTTTCATATTTTGTTGCAAATTAATTATTTTCTGATGTTTTACATGACTTTCTTTGCATGTTACGTATCCATTGTGTGTATATTAAGATGAAAAATAGGATTAAAAAATAGCTTTTTAAACATGAATGAACAATAAATTCTTGTTCACTTCTTCACATTATACCCACATATAAATATAGATGCATTAAATAAATTTTAATATTTGACAATTTATAGCATTTCGAAAATTTGTACTTTTCATCTTGAATTTAATTGTACTGTGTCATAATGTTTTCACTATTAGCTTTAAATAACGAGCCCAAAAGTTTTCGTCCCTTTAAGTACGACAGGATTATGTTAGTGAAGTTTTCCACGGAAAACAGAATGAATGAGAACCACGAGACGGAAAGGAAACTACAGAAACGAGAAAAATTTTTTTCTCCCAATTTTTTTTGACTTATATTTTCACAAATAAAACTATTTTCTATTGAGCTTAGTTTGGCAGCACGTAATGCCTTTAATTTTTCTAAAATATAAGAAAAATACTACGGTGACGAGAAAAAACCGAATCCATCCTACGTTCATTTTTTAACAGCCATAACTTTGCGAGGAATAATCGTATAATAACGTTTGCATAGTCAATATTAAGGAGAAAGCCTGTACTTTCACATCCCTAAATTGAATTTTTATTTAGCTGTTTTTAGAAATGAAGGACAGATCTTCGCTTAAAAAATTGTAGAAATTGAAATATTGCAAGTTTTCTTCACAATTTTTTTCCAATTGTATGGTGTGTATGTCGTGGATTTTCTTAATATAGGTATCGTTAAAACCACTAAGTTACCATTAAATTGATGAATGTTGGATGTCCTAATATTATTGACCCGTGCATTTCCATTTAGGTGAAAATGTTCATTATACAGAGTAACAGGGAATAAGATGCAAACAGATAAGTACCAGAAAATGTATTGGGCGATAATTAATTGCTAAATTTGGAAAATTAATAGGAAATATTCTTTATCGCTTATATGTTTTGAAGTAAAAAGAGTATTAATTTTTTCTAACAGAGTAAAATTTGTATATTCAAATATGTATTAACCCTTTTTACTCGAGAGATGACTTTCAGTCACCATTTCATAAAATTTGGAAGATCGATATTAATTAATATATCAAATTTAATGTAATGTAACAATGTACGAGGTATCGAAATCAAATAATTCTACAATTCTATTATTATACAATTCTTTTTTTACTGCTCAAAAAAGAATCGTCAGTTTTTTAGTAGGGAATCTTTGAATTTCTACTCTTCTCTAGCCAAAATAACGTCGAGTGCAAAGGATTAAGACATATGCAGTAGTAAATATAGAAATTTGTGTTGTCGTGTTATCCTTATATATTGTTTTCAAATAAATTTCGTATTTATTATCATATAGTACATTGTAATATATTAGAAAAAAATTTTAAAAGTATTTCGATGTTAAGAAAGAGAAAAATTCGCATAATACATTATTTATCGTCATTAAGGAATGGTACTGAATGTATTAAGTAATATCAGAGTCATGTAAATTAAAAAACTCGACATTTGGCATCTGTTTTCAAATGTGGAATAAAATACACATTCGAGACGAAATAAATTAAGTTATTAATTTCTAAAGATCGAAAATAATTTTTCAGGCTTTGAATTACTAAATACTTACACGTATACTATATATGTCTCGTTAAAATAATAACAAAGTAAAAATTTTGGTAAAGTACAATTTGAAATGTATTTCGTTTATTCAGAACAAGTTATTACGTCATCAAGGTTTTTACAGTAAAAAAAAAAAAAAAAATATTTATCTAGAACAACTTTCTCGTTGATGTATGTATCTTAGGCCAACTTTTATCAAGTGGCTCAGTGGTCTAGGGGTATGATTCTCGCTTTGGGTGCGAGAGGTCCCGGGTTCAAATCCCGGCTGAGCCCAATTTTTTTTTTTGTATACAATTCTTTATAAATAATTATTTACAAACACTGTCTAGAAATATAAAAGTTATGTTTGTAACTTTTACCGAAATATTTAAAGAAAAGGAAAAAGAGGAAATATAGATGTGTAGAGTTACGCTAAAACAATACTATTTGAAAAAAAAAAAAAAAAAGAAAAAAAAAATAGTATGTACAAACGAATTTCATATTTTTATGCATTTGTTTCTTGCGCATAATTAAATTGTTTCAATGTAAACAAGTAATGCGCGGAAAGAGACATTTAAAAATATAATAGATTGCAAATGTTTATGTTTGCTCTGTTGACAAATATAACCGCAGGGAACAGAAGCGGCTCAGTGGTCTAGGGGTATGATTCTCGCTTTGGGTGCGAGAGGTCCCGGGTTCAAATCCCGGCTGAGCCCAGCTGAGATTTTTTTCTCTCACTTTTTGACTTATTCCACAAACAAATCTTCGCTATAGTTGTGTAGCATTTACATTAATTAAAATTTGCATACGTCTTCTTAGTGCATTGAAAACCATTACTCGCGAATTTCTTTCGTACATGATTAACAATTGTATTCAGTATGGTATAATGCTTCCACTAGTAACTCACTTGCACATACATTGACCGTTGAAAGCAAGTCATTCAGCAGAATAATTCAATTGAAAACTACATAATCAAACGCAATAATGAAGTTTTCTCGATATAATTATTCAGCGAAATTTGTTCTTTAATTTGTACATAAATATTACATCGTTTTAATATCAATTTAAAATTTCCAACGTACAATAATTATAGACTATACTTAACTTATTATATATATTATATATTATTATAAATTATTAGACTATATTATATTATTCTGCAGAATAATTAAACTAAGAAATATTTAATCATAACCTACAATTATGAAGAATAGTAATCACACATACATTGCAAATTTTATACCAATTTTTCTCTAACAAACAAATACCAATATTCCACGAAATAGCAATATAACGTTTCATGAACAACAAATAAAACGAAACCAGGCAAATATCCCCTTTCGGAGAAGCAAAAATCACTATTTACTTGTTAAATAATTTGCATCGGTTAGCTATTCTTCCCCACGATTCTCCGAAATAAGATTAATTAATTTAAACAAATAGTCTGTTTAATCTTCAATTACCATCGAACGTTCTTTCTCCGACATAGCTGGTCCACTAGACAGGTAAAGCCTACTCTCGTTGCCGACGTTTACCCACTGGCAAACATTACTGTCGAATCATTACGCGTCGGTATAATCCAGTTGTGCGGGTGCAATTGACTAAAAGCATTGTTGTTTATCTATTATTCCAGGCCCAGCACCATGGCGGCTGAGGAGGGTGCGCTGAGTGGCGGACTCGGGGCGAAATTAAAATGTCCGACCCCTATATCACGCTTGAGGGTGGAGAAGATCGAGGGTGGTCTCATGGTAGCTGGGGTTGTAATAGCTGCGAACTGCCAGATTGCTCTTCCGGCATTCGGCTTCCTCTTTCTGCTCGTCGGCGCTGTGCTCACTGGTTTGTATCTTCCTTATCCTTTCCGTGTCTACCTACGTATAACGAATTATTCCATATTTTATGCCATTGTGCTTGGGCCGCGATTGTCTGGCAATATCGGAACGGGGTAACGGACAAAAGGTCCTCCACCGTTATTAACCACTCGGACAGGGGTTTAATCGACGACCACGTGATCCACGAGTGTGTATTTAATTCTTTAGTAGGCTATCGGACGGGGACGATTTTGGGTAAATGTTAATTTCCGAAGTTTCTGCATTTATTTTTCTGCTTAATTATGACAGTATTGAGGTGCTTTTTTAATTATTTATTACATTATTATGGAAATATTTTTAAATATCATATGACAGAATTAAAGATCTTTTTGTTATTTTTATTAATTATTATATTGTTGTAATATTATATGATTAGATGAATAATTTTTATTTGTTTGTTTTATTTATGGTATTATATATATTTTAATTTCTTTATCGTGATATTGTGGAATACATTTCATATGTTTACTGTATATTTCAATTGGGATATTTTAATTTATTCATATTTTATAGTATACAAAATTTATTCATTTATAGATTTGGTATAGTATTTTTTACAATCTTTTGTAATATACTGCAGTATACTTACTCAGTATAAAAATAGAATATTCATGATAAATATTTTATAATTGAACCGTTCACTGCACAAATTGATTAACTGCATAAAACAAAAAGTGGAGAAATGCAATGAAATAATGTATATTGTTTTTTAAAATTCCTTTTATAATTTAAATCGAAGTAAATATTGCAGAATGCATAAATACAAATGTAACTTTCATCTAACGGTATATAAAATTTATAAGAAAAAATAGCCAAAAGGTAATCGTTAGTAATGTTACCATTTTTATGTTACTGGTAGAGTTAATCGATTTGGCGAGTGAAAAAAGTAATAAATTTAAATTTTACTAAGTTCTACTCAAATTCTGATGATGGGACTAAAAAATTCACCGTTATCATGGCTTGCTAGTGCATTCGAGTTGCATTATTGCAACGATTTACATTAGAATACGGAGTTAATCAAAGTGACCTCTGAAATAAATTATTTATTATTCAGTGGCCAACAAATTTTTGTCGTTTAATGGTGTTAATCTTAATTATCAGGGAAAGTTATTATAAATATAAAAAATTACGACTATACCAAGTGCTTCGACACTTAAATTTAAGATTTTTCAAAAAATGGAGTTAATCGATTCGTGCAGTCGACGGCTCAATTATACGATAAATTTAAGAATTTTACAATAATTTCCTATTTCAATCAGAGGATTATTAAATAACGTTAATAATAGTTTGATAAATTAACTTAAATCAAGAACAAATAACTGCAGAAGCCAAAACTCCGAATTGAATTATTTAAACTTTGGTAGTTTTATTGTTAACAAAGATATTTTGATATCTGGTGAATAAACTGGATACTGCGAATAGGGAATTCCGGTTTATGCTAGGTCGATCTAGAGTTGTTTCGCTTGGTAAATAGTAAAACGGTTGATATAGTGCTTTTAATCTAATTGGTGTTTGCATTTGTGATTAAAGGAACAGTACGAGGCGGATATCTAATCCTCTATAACTGGAGTTTTATATGCTTGCGAGAGAAGAGATTAGGATCGTTTGAAGTATCTCAGTTTCATCTTAGAAGCAGGATGATTGATGCAAATAATTGGTACCGGTTCTGTGTCGTTAACCCTTTTTGTTACGGTATGGTCGGTATTAAAAGTTTCTTTGGTACACTCGTTATAAGCAATTTTGCCTGGAAAATATTTGGTCATGAATATTTAATATAATACTTCATATAATTAATCAATATTAATGCCATAACATATGGTATATGTAATAGTATGTGCCATAAATTCCATTCTATACATTCTATGTATTTGATGCCTCCTTCAGGGTAAGCATAGTGAATTTCGAATTTGCATAATATACAGTAAGCAAATTAAAAAAAAGGATGTGTATGTAAATATATATGTATATAAGTGTGTGTATATTTTTCTATATATTATTTATATGTTATCATATTATTTCACTATA